AAACCATATCAGAAGCAACAAAAGAGAGGTCTGTTGGCAGTATTACGTTGAATACGAGGCGAGGCGTATGATAGCAGTGAAAGAAAAGACTAGACAACAGTGGCCAGAGGACCGAAAAATCCATGCTTTGCTGCAAATAAAATAAAAATAAATCTGCTTTGCTGAGCCGAACGCATTGAAAATTCAGATGCTTTCATCACACTGTCATCATCATGTCTCCATCAAAAGTTACTGTCAAAAACTTATGGTGAGCATTGGTGAGATTTCTGGTGACCTCTAGGCTCTACAGTCTACAGGCTTCTGCACACACTGCTAGGGGCCATGCTGGTCACTGAGGAGCCACGCTTGTCAGTGCCCTTACGCCGGTCTCTAAGAGCTCCAAGTGGTCGATCTCTGAGGATCCCACGCAGTCTTTGGAGGCTTCACGTCGGCCCCCTGGTTCTTAGGTCATTAAGGACTAAGCTGGTCCATTTTAAGCCTCAGCAGTCAGTATAGGTCTAAGAGCCTCAGGTCGCCCTAACGGAGCCAATATCGATCTCTTCGGGGCCCTTTGCTGGTTGAGAGCTGATGCCCTAAGCTTTAAGAGGTCCCAACTCGAGTTATGACACCTGCTCTGGCCCCTGATGGCTCCATGTCGTCCTCAGAGGCCTCACTCCGACCTCTGAGGTCTCATGCTGGCCTTTGAAGGCCCCATACGAACAGATGAACCCACGCTGGCCTCAGGGCCCTACGAACGATGGCCTTAAGAGGCCCCTGCTGACCTCATGGAACCCAGGGAACATCTAGAAGCCTATATCGGTCTTTGAAGGCCTCGTGCCGGCCTCTAAGGGTCTTCTCCGAGGGCCCAGTTCTGCATAAGGGCTTAAAACGGCTGGCGAGGTCCTCGAGATGGCCTCTGATGGTTTCTGAGGGCTTAGCCGTCGGAGGACCGAGGAGAGCAATTAGATGCATCGAGAGTATTCCGATAGGGTTTTGGTAGAAGGGATGCAACTACCTGACATAATGACATAAATGACCGTGAATTGATCGACCTAGCGGCTGCGGAGATCTCTAAAAATAAGCCTCCAGGCTCTAAACAAGCCTAAAAATACATCACTTGAGCGGATCAACATTGACACCCATGACTTTCCACGTGGCACGGCAAGGGCCGGGCCGGAAGTTGCGGGGTCACAAAAATAGGTGGAGCGGTGTGTTCGAGACTGGCGGGTGCCAGCGAGGGCCGGGCAGCGGAGCAGCACGTGCTCCAGGACATAAAACTCTTCTCGGCACACGGCGCAGAGCGCCGCGGGGCACCGCTTGTCCAGGCACTGTTGGCCTGCCGCGGAGGGGAGACGGCCGATTTGGTGTACGTACTGGAGCGAGCGGCCCCAGTGGCCTGCCCTCATGTGGTGCACCGAAACGGCGTCCCCCCGGTCCTCTCAGAGGATGGGGACTGCTGCGTGCTCCCGAAGAGTGGCTTGAATAGTGACTCGGACCAGTTGCTGCACCATTGACGCGAGACCTCCCGGCGTCCCAGAAGACCCTGCTAGGAGCCGCCATCTGGACCGAACTAGCGGCCCTGGGACCAGATCGCCAAGGAGGCGGCCGCGCTCCCCCAGGCGGCGGTCCCGGTGGACGTCGCTACCGCCCACCGTGCGGCCGTCAGAATGGCCCGCGACCGCACCACCGCCGTCTGGCCGGAGGGCTGGTACCGGACCCTGATGGGGAACCGGCTGCCGCTACCGGTCGCGACGGGGGACAGATCGTCGGCCGTCGACGTCCATCAACTCCGCGCGGGCCACTGGTCAGGATCCCGCCAATACCTTCACCGGATTGGACGGAACTCTTCCGAAGATTGCCGCCAGTGCCCTGACTGTGCGGCGGGCCGGTGCACCGTGTGCCGGGAGGAGGCCGACACGCCCCGGCACCTCTTCTTCCGGTGCCCGGCCCTCATGGGCTGGTACGGGACGATTTTCCCGAGCCCGGAAGACGTCCGCGGCGACGGAGAGGTGGCGGCCCTGGCGGCCGCCGTGAGGGACCTCCAGAGCCGCACGGCTACACCGCGGTAACGCGGCTGGAGGGAACATTAACAACAACATTAACAACAAGGCCGCACAATGAACCGCCCGGGTAGCGAGCGGGCGTCCGAGGGCGGGGCGACCGCTTGTTTCGCCACGCCGTTCGTGCTCTCATTCCCCTCGATCCTGCAGTGGGCAGGAGCCTGGAACCCACTGCAGGATTACTTCACGACGCTCGGCCATGTTTAACAAGGTCTTCCATGCCTATCTCCGCGCCGAGGGTGGAGGCCTCACCTGGGCGGAAGCTCCTCCCCTGAATAGACTTAGGGCGGCTCGCAAGTCGAAGCACACGACGACCGAGGCGGGGGACGTCCCATCCCAAACCCTCTCCAGAGCCGCCCGCAGGTGAATCTGCTGCTAGACTGACAAGCGTGGCGAAAAATTCGGTGACCGCCATTCGCCGAAAAAATTCTGCGGCCGCCCTGCTCCGAAAACTTAGCGGCCGCCATGCGCTGAATTCGACGCATGCGAAGTTACGCCGGAGCTGAAATTTTCGGCGCAATCCCCGCCACCACGCCGGACATATTCGGCATCACGTGTATTGTTTTCCAGTCTGGCAACAGGAACGGAAAAATTATAGTCATTTGATGTTTCAACTGGATGAATTGCTTTGAAATGTCCAAGGAAGTGGCCCTTGAAAGCCGCTCTTCTGTAAAACTAACTGGCGCAGTTTAGAAGCTACTTGACAGTTGCCACAGCCAAGTTGATTTCAATTTTCAAACTCAAGGAAGACTTTAAAAATCCCAAATTTCATTCCACAGGTTCCACTTCATTTTAATTTTCAAATTTGCGGAATTTTAGCTCAAAATTAGGTAGGTAGATGTGGTAGGTATAGATTAATATTTGTGGTTCTCATTGCAATGTCAACCTGCAGATTTTACAGCATTAAGTGTTTCTGCTTTTTATGACACAGATGCTGGGTTAAGATGAGTAAATTCACAAAAGAGAGGAAACACTTTGACCAGAGCATGGCCATGGACATTCACCTAAGTTACAAGTTTGCATTTCATACAAGGCTATTGTGCCTTTTCAGTAACAGCAGCAGGTCAGCAAACTCATCCACCAACTGTGCCCCTGCAACTGGGGGAAGCAGGGAAATGAAGTGTGACTAATGGTTGGTGACAAAGCCTATCTATTCATCTGAGTCTGTCTCAGCTGAGTCTTCATGGGTGGAAGCACTAATAGTTATGCAATGTCTGTAATTGTTATGAGGTAAAACAGTAGCTGCAATGTTGGATAATATACATAATACATACCTATGAGGCAGAATAAAAGAAATCTGCCAAGTTAAATGCAAATAATTTTATAAAAAGGTAAATATAATCAACCATGGTGATCAACCATGTCTATGAATATAGAAAATTGACAGAAGTCAAAGCAAGGTTGTCAAACAGCACAGCTGCCACATACCCAAAATACTCTATTAATTCAGATTTAAAAATGGATACACCCATAAATGATCACATTGATACATGCTTATGCAATCTCCAAATTAACATTTCCATACAATATCCAGCAAAAATCCACAGCATAGGTACCTATCAAAATTCGGTGCCGGGGACCCCAAAAGCCTTAAAACTATCAATTGACACCACAGGCAAAATTTTAGGATTTTATAAGTTATAAAACAATGTATGATTTTTCCCCTTTATCATAAAGACCACAGGCCAGCCAATGACCATGCACAACAACACAATTGGACAGTGATGAAATTTAACTATATATACCTCTGGGAAAAAGTCACATTTTCATTGCTCTAATCTACTCTGGATATTACCTTTAAAAAAATTGAGCCAAGATGGTCTAGAACCCTACCAACCAGGACTTCGGAAATGGCATTCGGAATTATGTAGGAATTATGTCGGAATTATGTGTAGGTACTACATATGGCTACAGTTTATTATTTCTTGACAATAAAATGGCCAATAACATTTTCTTTTGTAATCAGATAGATCAGCACCACTGATAGGCAATATAACATCTAGGTATATATAAAAGTAAAGGAACACTCAGTAGCTGGCAACGCTGCAGACCTGTGCCGTCTGCAGTGTTAAACTTTGTGACTCTGCGTAAGAGGTTGGTAAATTGATTGATTTTCCCCAAGTATTCCAAACTGACTTTGGAGCATAAGCAAGATAATGCTGTTCTTGCAACAAAACTAGATTTTAAGGATTCATAACTGTGACTGTGACTGTCTTGAGCAGGCTCAGCTCAACAGCCCCTATTTGTGTACAAATATAGAACAGCATGTCAATATATTGACAGTGGTAGTCTATTTATTATTAGGAAAAGGTCATCTCATTCAAGCACAGGAAAATCAAGCTTGACAAACATGGCATGCCTAAATCTAATGCTGTGGCCATGCTCTTGGGCTTAGAAAAGTGGGGCAACAATACAAAATACAAAAATACATAGTAGTATGCCATACAGCCGAATGCTTACCTTTCTATTTCCACCCATCGTTATCCACTCGCCTAGAGCACAATCCAAACGCCAACCAAACGCGACACGACTCTTCCAACACAGAAAAACGCACATGGAAATTGCCGCGAGAACTTTCTCGGCGCCGCCGATGTTGCTTACCAACGGCTTCAAGCCTTGCAACAGCTGACGATTAGTGAGAACTGACTTCTTTTCATGGACGACCAATCAGAACCGGTCTTACAAAAATGCCAACCAATCAAAATGTCGCTCTAAAAGGGCGATGCTATCGCCACGTGGTGGTGAAAAAACACACTAATCTAGGATAGCATTTTACATAGGAGTATTCTCAAGGACGAACGGGCGCGTCCATGCATTTCGGATGATTGGTATATCGCTTCATCGTCCATGATAATGCCCGAAACTGCTATTAGGAATTCATGGACAGCGAGACGTCCATGCAATCCCAGCCGTCCACGTTAATACCCTAAAAACCGCAAATTGTCCATGGGTTTACAACATTTCAAGCACAGCGGGCACAGCGCGGGAACTGGCCACTGGGCCCCGTGTAATCGGACACCGATCCCGTCTCCACCGCCCGGCCCCGCGGCGGCCGGCGGGCGGCCAGGGGAGAGATAGGGCCCACGGCCAACACACCCGCACTGGGCCATGAGTTCGGCAATCAACACGTGGGGAGACGGGCCGCCCGTCGCCACGCAGGCGGCACTGGCCGGTCCCGGCCCGTCAAAACACGAGATAAGGGCCGCAGACGAACCAACAGACCACTGGTTCCAGTGCGTCATCGGACCTAGACATACAGTCCGCGCACAACACCGCCGGCGGCAGAGCAGCTTGTCGGGGACCGACAGCGGGTCGGCGGACAGTTCAGACAGCGAGAGAGGCGTGCAGAGACGGCGCAGGGGCGTCCGATGAGTTACCCATAGCCGTGGCATCGGAACAAGGAAACGACAGCGGCAGAGCTCCTCCAGTGCTAATAGCGAGGACACCAGGCGACGCAGCAGACACCGCCGTCAAGAACGCCGGGACAACGGCACCCCCTCCCCCCCGCAGACGGCGTACCGCGGGCGCACGGAGCGCCGGGCGAACACGGGGACGCATCGACGGGCGAGCGACCGGACTCTGTCTCCTTCTGACCCATGTCGCCGAATTCGCCGCCTAGAGACCCACTCCGTGTGTGTCCCTCGTAAGATGACACCCACCGGCGCTGTACGGCTCCGTGGGTCAGCGTCAGCCCAGCTCCCCTCCCCGTAGTTACGACATTCGCCGCCAGGGGCTGACCCCGGCCCGTGACCGAGGTCGCGGGCGGGGTCAGTCTGCGTTGGTGCTCCGCACGAGCCGCGACGCTCCGTGTTGCGCGAGCCGCCGGTATTTCGAGGCGGCTTGTTTCCTCATGGAGGAACGGTTCAACAACCTTCTTGAGAGGTTTGACAAGTTGGAAAGCTCAGTGGCTGCAATCAGTGAGCATTTGAAGACCGACACCGCCGGTCGTCGGCTGGTCGACACTCAAGAATGCGCAGACACTCAGCCGCAGCCGCTCGGTGAGTCTGAAGTGGGCGCGAGCAGTGATCTGCAGACAGACTTTAAGAGCATTCGCGAAAGTCTGGCAAAGGTCAGACTACCACCGGACTTGGTGGTCGGTGATTCAAGAGCAGGCGTCAGCAAGGCTGACTGGCCGAAGTTCCAGGTCATTCAGAAGTGTGCGCGGTATCAGGAGACCGTATTGAAACTGCTCTCTCAGTGTACAAGCAGAGAGCCCGTCCTCTCTGAACTATCGACTACAGCTATCGCACAACTCCGGTACCTGCAAGAAGAGTATACCAACCTGCTGGTGGCGAACCAGTTTGATGACGGGACGACCAGGCTGTTCCAGACGCTGCAGCAGAACCCGGCAGCTTTCACGCCGGGGGCGCTGGAAAATCTGCAGCGAGCCGTGTCCATCGCCGGAGCGCGACACAACCGGCAGGTCAGTGGCTCTGGAAGGTTCCGCGGGCGGGGCTCATTCTTCCCGTTCGCTTCTGGCGGTCCGGGCAGAGGCTACCGCCTGGACGCGGCGGGTCAGCGACCCGGCGGCGGCGCGGCGGGCTCGGGCTCCGGATCAGCTGACTGGAGGTTCCGCCGCGGGCGGTTCGGGTACGCACCCGGGCCTCGTGACCTGGCCGCCCGAGCGCAGCAGCCGGATGACGTCACAGGGACATTCTCAGCTGAGTAAACCATCACGTGAGTTGTGAGGGGAATTATGCCGCTGCATAAGGACGAGTGGGTGCGCATTGGGGCGCCTGATGCAGTTCTGGACTGGATTATGAATGGTGTGCCGGTGCCTGTGCGTGACATTCCAGAGCCCCGTGTCTTTGAAAATCCCTGTTTTAATGAACCAGAGAAAAAGTTTTTGGAAACTGAGCTGATGGCGCTAGAAAAGAGAGGTGTTATAGAAAAAGTAGCTGACGTGCCGCATTGTGTCTCCCCTTTGAAGGTTGTTCCAAAGAAAAATTCCAAATTTCGCCTCATTTGTGACTTGAGATATGTGAATTCTCACTGTGATGTGCCACATTTTTCGTCAGAAGGTGTTTCTGTCCTGCCAGAGGTTATGAGAGGTGGTGAACTGGCGGTCACTGTAGATTTAAAGGACGGATTTTATCATTTCCCTGTCCGTGAAGAGTTCAGAACGTATCTGGGTTTCCAGTATGGTGGATGCTGGTATGTGTGGTGTTTTCTACCATTTGGTTTGGTGGCTAGCCCGTACTATTTCCACAAATGTATTCGTGTGGTCATAGAGTATATGAGAGGGACCGAACGCCTGTCGGTCATGGCCTACGTAGATGATTTTTTATTGACGTCAACGAAGAATAGAATGGCCAGTGACGTGAAAATATTTTTAGATACTTTAGCTTCATTAGGATTGTGTGTCAACTGGGAGAAGTCGTGTTGGGAGCCGTCAAATGTTGTGTCTTATTTGGGTTTCGATGTGCACTGTGCGTCCGAGGGTGAATTGCCGTTCATTACTGTGCCAAAATGCAAAGTGTCGAAGCTGAAGCAGGATATAGGTAGGATGTTAAAGCGGCCCACTGTGTCGGCGCGTCTGCTGGCTCGCATCGCGGGTAGGTGTATCAGTATGATGGCAGCGGTGTTCCCGGCCAAGCTGAAGTTGCGGAACATTTACCGTCTGTTGAATTCTAGGATGTCTTGGGACGAGGCAATGCCGTGGTCGCCCGAGGCCAGAGAGGATCTGGCGTGGTGGCTTACATCGCTGGACGGGTGGAACGGCCGGCTGCTGGTGCCGCCGGCCAGCTGCGACTTGCAGCTCTCCACCGACGCGTCCGAGACTGGCTGGGGAGCGACACTTTCCACCCCGGTCGCTCAAACCGCCTCGGGTTTCTGGCGGCCAGAGGTGAGCGCAGAAACGTCCAATTTTCGCGAGTTACTAGCTGTTTATTTTGCCTTACTGTCATTTTGTTCTACGCTTCGTGGCAAAACCGTCGAGATATTGTCCGATAATATCACGGTAGTCGCGCTCATTAACAAGCTTGGGTCAGCTGATCGTCGCCTGGACGCCATCGCTCAGAATATTTGGGAGTTTGCTTTTGAGCATCATGTCATGCTGGTTGCGCACCACATTGCAGGATATTTAAATGTAGACCCCGATGAGCTGTCACGTATTCCGCTGCGTCACGAGTGGACACTCCATCCGGCTGTGTTCCAGCAGTTGGAGCGCATGTTCGGCCCGCACACGATCGACCGGTTCGCCTCCCTGTCTACGGCGTTGCTACCGGTCTACAACAGCCGCTTCAGGGACCCCGGTACCGCTGGTGTGGACGCTCTGGGTCAGAACGATTGGCAACAGCACAACAACTTCATAAACCCGCCCTTCCGGCTGGTCGCACGTGTGCTGGACGCGGTGCAGGCGCAGCGTGCCGAGGCCACGCTGATTGCCCCGATGTGGCCAGGCCAGCCATGGATGGAGCGGCTGCGGCGGCTCAGCGTCTGCCCGCCGCTGCGGCTGCCGCCTGTGACGCAGGCCTGTATTCCACTGCTACCGCACCAGCAGATAGAGCCGCACCGCAACAGACGGTGGACTCTGTTCGCCTGGCGGATCTCTGGAGAGCCCGGTTAGAGGCGCTCGGCTGGTCTCCTGCTGCACGTGAGCAGTTCCCTCTGTGTTTGGCTCATTCCACTCACGCGAATTATGACAGGTACATCTGTAAGTTTAAGGAATTTTGTAGAATACGTGAATTGATTTTTCCACCGGTAGATGGCGCGGTAGTGGCTGATTTCCTGGTAGGCGAGTGCAGTGTGTCTGACAGACCCCACTCTACGTTACGCTGCATGTCAGCAGCCTTGGCTGCACTGTACGAGGTGATGGGAGTAGTCAACCCACTCCACGATCCCCTTCTCGTGCGTCTGTCTCAGGCCATTGTGAAAAGCGGCACACGGGCACCCATGACTCGGTCGTCCGTGATGGATGTATCAGCCTTTGTTCGTCTGTTTGAGTCGTGGGCTGTGAACGAGTCGCTACCGTTGAAGTTGCTGCGGTTGAAGGCGATATGTCTGCTAGCTATCGCGCTGATGTTGCGGCCCTCAGATATTGCCCCCCTGTCGATGAGGTTCGATGCAGGCTCGGGGGTAACGTCGCCGTTTGTGCTGTCCACTGATCAGCTTCAGTTCCGTTCAGATGGTACCCTGCAGGTTACCTTTCTGGGGATAAAGAACGACGCTCAGCGCACGGGGTTTCAAGTCGCAATCCCGCCTAGCCCCAATAAGTCAGCGGACCCTATCGATGCCCTGCGTGTTTATTTAGCTAGAACAGAGTCGTGTCGATGTCCAGTTTCGAAGCCTGTTTTCATTAGTTTAGTTCGCCCTTATGCTGCAGTTTCTGCAAGCTCGGTGGCTGCCGTTTTACAGCAGGGTATTTATTTTGCGGAGGATTTTGGTCTCGCCAAAGGTCACACGCCGAAAGATTTTCGGCCAACTGGCGCGACCCGTGCGGTGCAGCTCGGGTTTGACGCAGACGATGTGCAGCGTCTCGGTAGATGGAAGACCAGGTCGGTTTTCCTGGATCATTATGTTCACAATAGCGTAGATCCGTCGTTTACACAGCGTCTGTTCGAGTGACATGGCGGTGCATATGTGTGATGGGTGCTACGACGCGACGTTGTGATTTTTTCTCTCCACGGAATTGCATTTATGTTTGTTTGTACAATACATGTACGGCTGGCGGCGAATGTCTGTAACGTTGGTTTTAAGAAACCGTAGTTACGACATTCGCCGCCAGGGGCTGACCCCGGCCCGTGACCGAGGTCGCGGGCGGGGTCAGTCTGCGTTGGTGCTCATGGATTTGGAAGTTGACGCATGGAACATGATCTCGCCATAGACCAGTAACTGGAAAGGAGCTCGGTTCGTGCAAGTGCCACTGCGGCGCAGACGATTGCATTTATGTTTGTTTGTACAATACATGTACGGCTGGCGGCGAATGTCTGTAACGTTGGTTTTAAGAAACCTCCCTCATTACCCACCCCACGTTATATAGCTTAGTATGACGAGCCAGTGCAGGCTTAATCGGACATGATGTTAAACCACCGCCGACCTATTGCTCTGACGCACAACGAGCGCTGGTTTTACTCGGGCACCGGCTGCTCCCCCCCCCCTCACTCCTACATTATCGAGGCAACTGGAAACACGCGCTCCCCAGCCAGTCGCAGCCCGCCGGAGGAGACGGCAAGTGGGCCGGCCGCCCGAGACGCCATCTTCCCCACCGTGGACCGTTGGTTGTGCCACAGGGCGCCCGCCCTCACCCAACCGCCGCACTATGGTTGGAAACGGCCTCACGGATGGCCGGGGGTCAACGCGAAAAAATGTTTTGCCCATAACTTGTTAATGCGTAGACCGACTGCGATGAAACTTTGCATAGGTATACCAGTGTCTTTCGTGCATCATACAGTAACACAGAAATGACGAGGTCACGTCACGTCACGCGTGTGTGACGTCATCATTGCAAGTATGTTATAAGTCGCCTATGTCTTTCGTTATGTTATCGATATCGCGAGGCATTTTGAACATGTTTTGAATACTGCTATTACTGAATGGATATTGTTGTTATGCTTTAGGGCGAGAAATATCAACGTAGTGACGCACAGTGTCTTACTATTGGTCATAAAGGGTCAAAAATTTGGAGAAAGATTATTTATAATTTTTTTTTAGATTGGGCAAAAAAGTAAGAAATAAATGACGATCAAATGACAAAACATGCGTCAGATTAACCCGGCAGTTGCTGGGGTATTTCCCCATCCGCCGTTTGCCGGGGGGGGGGGCGTTCAACGCCCCCAGCCGATAACTCGCGAACAAATAGGCGCATCGAAACGCACGAGGCGCGGCAAACGAAAGAAGAACGCGACGAGACGATTCACATGAATACTTTAAAGTTGAATTTCGAGGTCACAGGTCGGGTCAAGTCAGGTCAAACACTTGAAATCGGGCTTTCAGTAGCATGGACTTTAGAACCTCGCAATCGGTGCCTCGCGTTTCGCGTTTCGATTATATCGTCATCAGTTGGTCCTAAATAAATTCAGTCATCAGTTGGTCCTAAACAATCTGTCACAACTGTCACAACTGTCACAACCCTTCATATAAGTGCTAAAAGAGTGTCAGATCAATGTAGGGGTCAGTCAAACATAGGCCACTGGCCATGGTCAAAGTCAGGTCAATCAGGTAAGCACATAACCCCGAAAATTAAAACTGGTACCTATTCGCAGCCCATGCATGACACATGTTTTATGGGTACTTTTGGGCGTAGATCACGATGGTGACATTCATTTTATCATACGAGTACGTGGCTGGTTGAAAAAAGATCAATTTCAGAAATGCATGCATCATGGTCGTGAAGTAGTCACGAGAAATTGCCAACATTCAGTTCAAGATTTTGGGAAATGTAGAACGATGATCAAAAACCATAGATAGCCCTTTGATTTGCCATGGTATTAGCAGTGTAATGGCGTTTACAGCATGTCTGTATGTCTGCTCTGTCGGTGGATATCCATATCCATACTCCAGGATATCCATACACGTTTGCACGATATCCATACTCCAGGTGCAGCGGCGAGCAGTTACTTCTTACGAGGGGTGCGGAGTCGAAGTCAGAGTCGGAGTCAGAGTCGGAGTCGGAGTCAGAGTCGCCCAGAGTCGTGGCAACGAGCCAGGAGTCGGAGTCGGAGTCGGGGTCGGTCAGGAGCCCGCAGTGGAAGTCGGAGTCGGTCCGAATCGGAACAGCTCCATCACGACTCCGAAACACTGGCAGGGGTCCGGAGTCGGAGACAGAGTCGGCCGGAGTCATGGCAACGAATCAGGAGTCGGAGTCGTAGTCGGAGTCGGATTTGGCGCCACCACGACTCCGCAACCCTGCTTCTTACCATCATTTATAAGGATAAGCGATTGCAAGACTGACGAGCCGACCTGGTGCTAACGAAGCGACGGGTAGGTACGCCTCGGGAGATGAAGCTTCACGGACGATTTTGCGCACAAGTGCGCAGTCTGCTTTTACGTTCCCCTTACGCAGAATTTAACAGAGACTTATTCTGCCAAAAAGCTCAATGGAGGTCGATGGAGAACTTTTTGTATGTCCAATGAAACATAAACGTAATTTTGCAAATATTGCTGTGGTGACACTGCAAACAGAATGCAATGCCGTTCCTGATTTTGAACACGCATGGGAAAAAGAGTCACTCCACTCGATAGCCAACATAACAAGGATTATTTTGATATATAATAATCCAGTTTTACAACGTCATGGAGGTACTCCACATGCTATCACCAGCGCGGTTGTTTAAACCTTTGACGGCGCACCAAAAAAGCCACTATCAGAAACTCCCGATTCCACGTACAATAATGAAGACTAAATGCGCAACTAAATAATTTTTTCTGCCCAATTCAAAACATTTCATCAATTTCCAACAGAATGACACCCCAAATATACATATATTCCGAAATTGCCCACGGCCATCCGTGAGGCCGTTTCCAACCATAGTGCGCCGGTCCGGCCGCGGCGCGTCCACTTCGGCAAATAAAGCGGCGACGCTCTTACCTCCCCTGTGTGATTTTTCCCGCCCCCTCCCCCCCCCCACCAGGCGCTGGAAAAAAAACAACCAAACCAAGTGAGAGAGGTGAGTCGAAGCCCAACCCCCCATTGTGTGATAGGTTACGTTTACCCACCAACCTTGCCAACTGCCGGTCGTCTCGCGGCCGCGGCCGGGCCTGACTGAGCAGGCCACTTTACGCCGCCCCTCCTGGAGCACGTAAGGAAGGGCGGAATAGACAGAGCGTGAGAGGGCCGTCCCGTAGATCATCAGCCCATCATACGGCAAACACCTACAGGTCACTCCGTTTTGGCGGTTTTTGGCGTGTTTGAGGACGTAAGGACAGGAGCCGTCGCCCGGCACCGGGCAGGCGGCGCCGAGGGCAGGCCTCAAAAGGCCAAATGGATGACATGCATCGCTGGGAGGTAAGCACGGGAGTGAGCGCTAAGGCCAGAACGGTTAGTTATCGCACAAAGATAACTGAGGTTCTGGCCAGCGGGAAACGGACGGGAGACCGGCGCAGCGGCCATCGTGGGTTGGAGGCTGGGGCGGGGAGGGGACGGGAGAGGAGAACGGGGCGGTAAAGTACACACGGCCGGGCCGCCGGCAGTGATAACACCCTAGAGTGACAAACAGGGGAGGCGGGACGACCGCGGTGCCGCACAGTCAGTCAGTCGCCGCGTGGGGGCGAGAGGAGACGACGCTGTGCGGTGAGGCGACCCGCCCCCATCCCCATCATGCCACCTAACCTCGTCTCACATTCCTTTCCTTGCCCCTTACCGTCTGCCCTCGGCACTGCCTCGTGTTTGAGGACGTAAGGACAGGAGCCGTCGCCCGGCACCGGGCAGGCGGCGCCGAGGGCAGGCCTCAAATGGCCAAATGGATGACATGCATCGCTGGGAGGTAAGCACGGGAGTGAGCGCTAAGGCCAGAAGAACGAATAACGATGGTCTTCCATAACTCAATAGTCTCAAATGTCCCGCCCGCCCCCTGATCATCCACCGGTGCCGTCCCAGTGGTCGGTCGGGGCTCGACCGGTGCACAGTGTGGCCAAACACCAGTTTAGCGCGAATTAAATCCCAGCGCTGCTCGGATCCGTTGAAAATGGTTCCCTGGTTTCAGAATTGACACTTAAACCTATGTGAGACCATTTACGATGCATTATAAATGCTTGCTGACATATAATGGCATAGTTCCGCCTCTATAAGTAAGGAGAACTAGCTTACGACGGGTGATGTGCTTACCAGGCCAGGGCTGTGAACAGAGGCGGATCCAGCTCAGAGGTTTGGGGGGGGGCAAACCATAAAAATTTATCGATTCTTTCCATGCATCGCCCATAGGCGTAATGTTAAAATCATGCCGTTTGGGGGGGGGGGGGGCAAATGCCCATTTTGCCCCCCCCCCCTGGATCCGCCACTGGCTGTGAAGTCGATGGAGTTACTCCGACTCCGACTACGGCTTTCAAAAGTCAATTTCAACTCTGACTCCGGGCAAAACTGTCGACTTATACGATCGATTCGGACTCTGACTCCGCAGCCATGGCAAGTTCACGCAGTCGATGGATTTTCGGTGACTCAGACTACGAGTCTTGGTCCGGATTCCAAAATCGATTCCGATTCCGACTCTGACTGCATGGTCAGAACTGTTGACTCCGAACGACTCCGACTCTGATTACGAAATCCTGGAATTTAACCGCAAATAAGAGGCATAAAATTGTGGGTCCCAGTAATGATGAATTGGACATGTTAGGAGGAGGAATCGTTTACGAAATTCCCATCATTTCTCTGGTAAATTCTTATGATTGTCCAAAGTTTGCTTGAAAAAAAAATCAACATCTAATTATGTTTCTGTGTGAATGTTCCTGGTGAAGCACATGAATAGGTAGACGGTTGCTGAAATACACGCACCGATAGGACTGAACCTCAGCAATGGGAGTAAAAACAAAGACTTACACCATAAGCACCTTCATGTCATCAACCCTCGCCCGTATTGGTGTTTTGCTAGCCGCGAACGTAGGTCGGGTCAGGTCAGGTCAGGCCAACGAGTCCTGCCGGGTATTCATAATTAATAGGTGTCAACCGCCAGTGACAGCTTCGTTGCATGTTACGAAGGCACCAAAACTTCTTCCTTAATGTTCAAATGGTTGCTAAATTCGAAATCAGCTCAAAAAACCAGCCTGGAAGCATGTAAAACTAAAAAAGGTGAACCGAGGTCATCAAAGGTCATTGAACTGACCTGACCTTCAAGTGATCTTGACACCGACCATAATGCATGGGAACAACATCATAATATCACATGTTAAGACGCTTGAAACCACGAAAAGACCTCAAACGCGCGGCTAATGCAAGCAAACATACACCGAATCGCGCTTCCGGCCAAACATGGTCTCGAGAAATAGGT